CTTTCTATAGCTAATATTTCATTGCTACCAGACTGTTTTCACGCTACTATATTTATGAATACAGTCGCAGAATTCGCCTAATAATTAGGGAGTCCAATTATTTAATAAAGGAAAGAGGATCAATTAGTGTGTATCACTCCTAATTTAACTCAACAAAAGTTAATTCTACAAAATTCCGTTGCTACCAGACTATATTCGCTGTATTCGTGCTACTGTATTCATGAATACATTTGCGGAATTCGCCTAATAAGTAGGGAGTTCAGCTTTTTTAATAATAGAAAGAGGATCAATTAGCGTATATTACTCCTAATTTAACTCAACAAATGTACAAAATTTCATTGCTACTATGTTGTTTTTCATATATTCGCGTGACTGTATTTATAAATACAGTGAAGTAATCCGCCTAAAAAATAAGGATTACAGTTGTTTAATTCTGTATTTTATGTATTCGTGCGAATTTATTTATAAATATAGTGAGCTAATACGCCTAAAAATAGTGATTACGAGTGTTTAATAACGGAAAGCGCAATATTGAATTGTATTCAGTTTTACTATATTGAATTCAATTGTACTCAAAACAATAAAAAATCAAGAAATAGGGCGTATACCGTTCTATTTAATTCGACTGTATATATTGTATTCAATTCACCGATATTTATTATTCACTATTATACATTGTATTCAATTCACCGTATTCAATTCGATAGCATTCAAACAACAAAAAATCACAAAATAGTGATATTCGGCTGTATCAAAAAAATACAGACCTTTGAAAAACATAAAATGCAGGCGAAAAAATAATATATTTATCCAAAAATACAATGATTTTGTGTATATTTGTACAGAATACAATATATTTGTATCATTGTATGTGACTTAATAGTAAAGAAGAGAAGAAAGTTCGCCGGAGGTGGCATTTTCTGGTCAAATATAATACTGTATTCATTGTATTAAAACTAAAAATAGAGACGAGCAAAAATCCGGTTGTCAAATCTTCTCTCGCGACTCTACTTCAGATTTTCAAAAGCTCAATCTGTTGCCATGACCAGATCTGTTCGCCTACTTCCTGTTTCAGATCTATTTTTTTTATTTTAGAAATTCCACCATCGCCACCAAAAATGGCTGTTATGACGATTGCCTTAATAGAATGGAAGAGAGATTAGAGGGAGAAGATAGATGATTGAGAATCTTGTTGATAGAGAGAGAAGGAAGAGAGAGAGAAACAACATAACTGGCGTATTTCACGCCTCAATTGTAGGGTATAAAATAAATACCTATTTTGCTATAAAATAAAAAAAGCTGCTATAAGTAATAATATTTTGAAATTGTTTGGTTTATAATAAATTGGGTGTAATAATTTGCTATAGGAGATAAAATTTCCTAATTTGGTCGGTATAGAACTACGATTTGCAGCTAGGACTAGAAAAATATTAGCTACTTCAAATCTCTCGATCCATACATTTTTACTAAAGTATGAGAATGCATATTTACTTTTGTTGCACACAATCCCTTACTCCTCAGTCTCTTTCAATATGGACGAATCTCATATTACATGTTCGAGCATACTTAAATCTAAACCAATTTCATTTCACAAAGACGCAAAGTTAATCATGATGTTTATAAATATTTACAAAAATCATGTTGTTTAGGATTATTTTTGGAGATACTAATCATATCCGTAAAAGATTGTACATGAAAAATTGTTTTGTCTTTCTTTTGTTTTCCTTTGATAAATTGATGCAATTTTATCATTTATTTTTCAAACAAAAAGGAAAAGGAAAAAGATTGCGGACTGCCTTAACTCATCCGGTGATTGTGCTGGTTATTCATTCTCACTATGCTTTCATATCATTCTTTTAATTCAGACTTGTAAAAAGAGTTTGGCATCCTAAGTCTTGAGATTTTTAAGGTCAACTGGTAAATAGACTAGAAAGAATTTAGATATAAATTTAAATACATTTCTGCAATATTCTAAATCATAATGTGAGTGAAGCAGAAAGAACCAAAACAATGTTTGATAGCACACCAACTTCTAGACTTCTAGCCTTTGGAATAGACAAAGGACAATATGTACTATCAAATGAAAGATGTGGTTTAAAGTCTCTTTGACATTTACGTAGCATGCCCAGAACTTTGTTCTTTGTTCTTTCTTTATCCAGAATTTAATGTTCTTGGAGTTGTAACATCTCATGTCTTGCTCACCCAATGCACTAAGTTCCCACTATACACGGAATTTGGGGAAGGGCCATACCACAAAGATATATTGTACGTAGCATTACCCTGTGCACTAAGCTTCTGTTATGCGCGAAATCCGGAAAAAAGTCAGACCATAAGGGTCTATTGTACACAACGTTACTCTGTGCACTAAGCTCCCGCTATGCGCAGGATCCGGAGAAGGGCCATACCACAAGGGTACTCTATTGTACGCATCATCACCAGTTACGTTAAGGCTCCCATTCCATTACATTCAATCCCATCCCACGTCTTACTACTACTACTAATAATAATATGATAAATATTCAAATACAAGTATTATCTTCATCATAATGATAGACCAATGCACATGGGAAAGAAATTGGATAATTGCTTTTCTTTTTAAGGCCTAATATTTTTTAGGAGAATTATTGAATTAAACCCAAATCAAATGGTTTAGGTGGGGTAGGGGAGTCCATCTGATGATTCCACCTGGCAAGCCCAGACTTTATACTTACAAGAAAATTAATGATTGTCCATTTATATATCCAACTGTGGACCAGGATATGAACCTAACACCAACTACGTAGACCCTTAGTGGGACATTATCTTTTGACTATCTTCCCTATATATTTTTCAAGATAATCTCAGTTGGTTGCTTCTGCTGTTAAAATTACATTGGCTGCTGCAGATAAATTCATGCTAGTAATTTTAATGAAAAGATCTATAGTCATATGGATTGTGGGGTATTCTAGTTGAACTAAGCAGAAAAGAAGAAAATTGTTAAAATGATAAGTCAAATGGCTGGTGATATTTACTGACATGTGATCAATCCATGTTCAAATTGTAACTTTAGCACTAAATTAAAATAAAGGAAGTCAAAATCTTCAAGATATTGAGAAAGAGGAGTTCAATATAGTATGCTTCGTAGTTTATGAATAATATCTTAGATGTCAATAAACAAGCAACATCTAGCTTATAATAATAAGTAAAAAGTTCAGTGGAAATATGACACTCAACATATTGTTGAGTTGTCAAAACAGGGTAAAAAATAAAAATATTGTGAGACAAACACCATTATCTAATTTCAGATATTTTGACAATCATAAAATATAGTCAATGCTCCTTCCACATTCCAAAGAAGGAATTAAGTCATTCTTTCTAAGGAAATCTTGGAAGTTTAAAGTAACTTTGGTAACCGATAGCCAAATCTCTCTCCCATTGGAGCATATTTACGGTTAGGGTTTGACAATTTGAGCCGAAACTCATTTGAGCCGTATATTTGTTGAACTCAGCTCATCTTGATTTAACTTATTTCAGCCCAACTAAAGCTGAGCTAATTTTTGGTCCAAATTAATACATGAGTAATTTTGCTAAAACAACTTCAAAATAATTTATTTGTTGGAAATATTATGTATGACCATAACAAAAGGAAAAAAAAATCTTATTTGATAATTGAACAATCCATAAGAAAATAATACACATTAATTAAATCTTGGTAAGAATTGGGCGGATTGGATTATGATTCAAATTTTAGCCCAACTTGATCCAACCCACACCAGCCCAAGTTATTTTGAGCGATCGATCCGCCCATTTATTGACTCAACCCATTTTGACCCTCCTAAAATCAGCATTTGACACACCTATTTACAGTTATCATGTGTAGCAAGTAAGCCTCTTTATCCATAACCAACTATTGTTTAAGCACTATAAAAAAGTTTAGACAACATCCCACGAACCTACCAGTTCCACTTAAACATACAGTTATATATATTTTTAGAACTATTAATTAAAGAATAGAAAAGGGACAAGTAGCTTCATAACTTCTTTATGCAGCTTAACTATTTATTTCAAGAACTATTAACAAAATCAGGGAATCAGTTTGAATCATTCATAAGCCGATGTTTTAACTATTAAAAAACTACTGAATCTTAGTCTAATGAGATTTGGCTTGTATTACAAGGGATACTTGAGTTACAATGTCAGAAAATTGACAAATAGAAAATGAATAGTGATGATGAAACTACCTTTTAATATTTGTTTCAAACAGATAGAAAATGAATAGTGATGATAAAACTACCTTTAAATATTTGTTTCAAGAAATATAGTATGAGGAACTGTTGAGAGGTAATAACTATACATAAAATAATTAAGAATATGAACATAACAACACACCAAAATGATGAAATGAAGAAAAAATGAAAGGGAGGCATCGTCGGAGGAAGGACTGAGGAACTTCTTGCTTGTGTTTGGTTAACCACTTCACACGTAGATAAATTGGTCCAGACATTATATTATAATTATTATTACGAAATAATGAGAAGGAAAAAGAAAAAGAAAGAAACATAGTATGAGCCTATGAGGACGGAAGGGCATTTTACTCTTTTCACTATACTCATTAATACACAGCCACCTTTTTAATTTGTCTGTTTCACAACTAATACAACAACAGTTGGCCAAAAAATTCTGTTGTTTTCACTTCTTTCTTCCCCTGTCCTACTGTTCCCTTCCTTTTCCCCCCATCCCCCTCTCTGCTTATCAAAAGTACATCTTTGTTCTTGCCCGCTTAGTCGATTGGCTGCATCTCCAATTTTTTTGCTGTGAATTTCATCAGTGGTGGTTTCAATTTCTGTTTTCTTGAATTCGACAGGTATTATACTGCATCTTTCATACTTTTGACTTTTTTCATCAAAAGTAGCTTTATTTATGCCTTGTTTGATTCTTGTTTCCTCTTTTCCGTGACTATTTGTCTAATTTCTTGTTTTTGTGGTTTAATTACAAGTTACAAAAGCTACCTGCTGTTCATTGGTCTAGCTTCCTTTCCCTCTTTCTTCTTTATGATCAAGTTTTACTTGAAGATTGTACGTATGCTTCAAAAGAAGATAGATTCTATAGAGAACTCGTATGGACATGGGATAATTGAATGCATCATCAGTGAATTGGTGGTGATCACTGATCACCATAACTTTCTTTATGGGATGTTAATTATCAGTTTTCTGTTCCTTTGTTTTGCTTAAGGTATGGAGTTAGAAAGTCATCTCAAAGTCTTCCAGTTTTAGATTTTCGTTGACTTTGTGCTTCTCACTGGTCTTCTTGTGGAAATCTTATATGATACAAAGGAAGACATCTTGCTGAAGTTTTTTCTCTGCACTAAATTAAGGAGTCATGGCTACTGGCTTTTGGGTATCATGTTGATTGCCGTGTTAGATGGATTTATAAGGTGTACTTTTGTCATACAAAATTCAGTAGAAAAGATATATTTTTGAATTGAGGAATTACATTGTGCAAAAAGAAGGGGAGCCTTGGCGTAACTGCTAAAGTTGCTGCCATGTAACCAAAGTTCAAGCCGCCTCTTGTAGAAATGCAAGGTAAGGCTGCGTACAATAGACCCTTGTGGTCCGGCCCTTCCCCGAAACCCCGAGCATAGCGGGAGCTAAGTACAACGGACTTCTCTTTACGTTGTGCAAAAAAATTACAGTTTTTGGTCCTCGGTGATCCATTGATTTAAGCTATCAAGTGTGGACATTGACCCTTTTTGTTTTCTTTTTCAATGGTTTTTGACATTTATGGATGCTGAATAGAATAGTTGAATTAACTAACCTGTGTGAATAAAACCTTCGAAGTTTCCTACGAGTTACTTTAATGATCTTGTTGTAGCCCACAAAGCAAAATGTATGTGTTTTTGCTATGCAACTAGTTATTGCAGAGTTAACATCCTAAGATCAAAACCAGTATGTTGGGAGTTAATGGATGTTCTGTATTCAGTCCCTTTTTTCTTTTCTTTTGATTGCTGCTGTATTGTTTAAAGAGGTAATTGATCACTCATGTAGGTACATTCTTGTTGGTGTCATCAATGAGATATTGATTAGTATTGAAGTCGGTTCTTAGCAGTCATGGACGTTGACGCAGCTTCAGCATTTAACGATCAGAAGGAAAAGCTGAATACTTTTCTTGAGGTGACTTATTGAATCCGTTAGAATGTTTACTTTGCTTTTGTGCTTCTAATTTGCTAAGTTATCTCATCCATGTTGCAGATTGCCAATACAGAGAAGCAACTGTTGACATCAATTTACTCTAAAGGCCTTGTGCACAAAGATGTCCAGGAATTGTACCGTAGAGCCCGTAGCAGCTATGAGAATATTATTTTAAATAATTATGAAGTAGTGGGGCTTCAGGAAGTTGAATTCTCTCTGTGGAAACTTCACTATAAACACATTGATGAGTTCCGTAAAAGGATTCGGCAGGCTAATGCTGAGAAAAGGAAAAGTGAAGCACAAGAAGGTGATTCAAGTGCTGCCCGAGAGATTGACAATCATATGGAAGGGCTCAAGTCATTTCTATCTGAAGCTACTGAATTTTATCAGGAGTTAACTAAAAAACTCAGGAAAAGTTGTGGGCTCCCTAGGGAACTCTTACTTTGTAAGAATGGTAGCAGCTCACTTCCTCTCTTACCCATGAAGCTACCACAATGCCAATATGCTTGTCACCGTTTTCTTATTTGTCTGGGAGATCTGGCCAGATATGGTGAACTTTGTAAGAAACCGGATGCATGTACGTGGTCATTCGCGGCCACATACTACTTTGAAGCATCTAGGATATGGCCAGACAGTGGAAATCCGCATAATCAGGTAGTTTCTATGGTTAAATCTTGCAAGCTTGTCTGTTCTTGTTTCCTGCATCAAAGTTGAGATGATATCCGTTTCGAGGCTCTTATGATATTTTATTTTTATTTGCAGCTTGCACTATTGGCAACATACATTGGTGACCCTTTCCTTGCCTTGTACCATTGCATTAGAAGTTTAGCTGTTAAGGAACCATTCCCTGATGCCTGGAACAATCTTATGTTACTCTTTGAAGAGGTAATGTCAAAAGATTCTTCTCTTATTCTCCATTCTCCTTTTCTTGAGTAAAAGAAACTTGAAGTATATTATTTCCCTTTTGTTTCTTTTTTCCCCCATTTTCAGTGATCCCTCTTGACTCTAGAAGACTAAAACTTTTCATTGTTTTCTTGGGAATCTGCAGAACAGGTTATCTAATTTGCATTCACTGTCCAGTGGAGCACACCTTGATTTGCTAAAACCATCAGTTTGGTGTTCCATGGATGCTATAAATGGTGCAACCAGCGGTTCTTCAAACAAGAATATGCCAGAAGCCCCTGAAACTGTTACCTCTGGAAAAGCTGATATATGGCTTCTGTTTGTCAGATTGATGAGTTTTTTTCTCGTGCACACCAGGTACACAGCATTTACCGGTTAAAGTCATTCAACCAGGCAATTGAGATAGTCCGCATATACAGTCTATGGTGTTACTTAATCCCTTTCCTCCCTTTGTTTCTTTAGTTCTTCATGGAGGAAGTTGACTAGTTCTGCTTGATTTACTAGCCTGCTTGTTTAACCTGCTTAAACATGTGCATGTTTTCAACAGTAATTTCCAAGTATAAACATTGCACTATAGGCATTATATACTGGAACTGAGGTTTCTAGTTGCTTTTAGAATGCTATGTTTCATTGATATAGTTACTTGCATTGCTTCTAAGACTACTCCATGTACAAAATTATCAGGATGTGATTGGTTGGCAAATCTGCTTGCTTTTGTTAAACTACGAGTCTGTTTTCTATTTATATTTTGTGAAGGAAGATTATTTTTGTCACTGATAATTTCAGCTATTTTTCAATTTTAAATTTTAGCTTTTATATTTTTAGTTTCTTTTTGCTATTTTGGGTGGTATTCCAAAACACTTCCATGCCAAATGAAAGGCGAAAAATATTGTGTTTATGTTTACCTTCATGGATATTCATACTTTCTATAACATAAATTTATGAAGCTGCATCCTTTGCTAAGGGAACTGCTTTTCTTAACATCTGAATCAATGGTATCAGGATAACTGGTGTGCAGCATCTTAATTCTTTTGACACAAATTTATTTATCTGATTGACTGTAGGCTTGTTGAAGTCCATGTTTTTTAATTAATTCTCTCAACTAGTCTTGATCCTTTGATTTCTTACATTATACCACCCAAAGTCTGCCTTTCAATTTGTTTTTTTCCTTTACTATTAAACTTTAACTTCATTCTGGATATAATTTCAGTGCTTCTAGATTTAATAAGCTTAGTGGCTTCCTTCACAGTACTGCAAATCATGTCATTGATTTATTTGAAAATTTCTAAAACGTCAGCCATTTCTCGAATGCAGCTTGGAAAACTTTCAATCTACTCTTGCATCCACTGTCAGACAATTGGAAGGTCTAGTGGTAATGGATGGTGATGAACTAAAGGCTGCTCTAGAGTCCTACCAGTTAATGGATCCATCGAGAAAAGGCCCTTATTGTGCTCTTCAGCTTGTCTCCATTTTCATCTTTATCTTCCATAGCCTGACTGAGAGTGGGGATGGAGTGGATCCAAAGAAAGATAACAAGCAGCAATCTGCTTTGACACAACTGGCAGTAGCTGCTACTTTCATTTGCATTGGTCGCCTTGTTGAGAAAACTGTAGCAAGAAATAACACACAAACTTGCCCCCTTTTACCCACTGTCTGTGTGTTTGTAGAGTGGTTAGTGAACGTACTTGATAGAGCAGAAGCACATGCAAGAGATGAAAAGGTCCAGAGTGCTATGTCTTACTTTTTTGGTGCTTTAGCTGATCTTCTGAATCGGCTTGATCCTTGTGAGAACGGCCTTGCTTCAGAAAATAGTGCTCTTTGGGAAGACCATGAACTGAAGGGGTTTGATCCGTTGGCCCATGCTCACAAGTCTTTGGACTTCACGAGCCATTTGGAATCCATAGATAATTTCAATAATAAGAGTGTGTGTCGTTCACGGCGTATCTTTTGTGCAGCAACTAAACTGGCTGACAGATCCAGTCACTTAAGAAAATGGATCTCTCATGATAAAACAGGCAAAAGATTCTACATCATGGAGTCAGAATTAGCGGATAAGGAAAAGTCAGGAGTAGCTGAATCTGGTTCGACTCTTCAGCTAAAAGGATCTTATCAGAATAATTGTGGAATGGCGAAAGAAAATGGAGAGAGTCAAGATCACCCTTGCCGCAACAGCCAATCCATTACCACAGATGAGGAAGAAGTCATTCTTTTCAAGCCCATCACAAGACATAACTCTGCACCAATATATACATCAGGCACCTCATGCGATCAATCCTCCATCAACGTTGTCTATGGAACTACACCGTCTGATGAATCATTGCGCCGTGCCACATCATTGATTTCTGAGCAAAGCCAACCACAGAATGATATTTTCAGTTTCCGCCCGGAAAATACAAACTTGAGGTACAGCAAGCCACTCAAGCAGTCTGCTGCTTTCCCTGCCGGACCACCATCTCTGAGTGCTTGGGTCCTTGAGAAGGAAAGTCCAAGAAACGAGAGGGGGACAAGGGATTTAAATAAGCATCAGTTAAGCCCAATCGATGAACTAGCTTCTGAATCCTTATCTGATCTCTCCTTAAAGGAAACTAGAGATCACAAAGTTTGTTCCATGCCAGTTTCTGCAGCTATACATGATACTCCTCCTCCATATATCTCTCCCGTGCCCTCAGCTCCATTATTACCCGAAGATGCTTCTTGGTTTAAGGGAAACACACCACTTTTTCCTAACAAGAGTGCATTTGGGACCAAGGAAGGGGACGGTATTCTTGGCGCATCACCAGTGAGTGGATACTCAAGTCCATCTACAGTTCGTGGACCGCTTGATTTTGTTGCAGGTGGTACAGGATTTGTTGAGGGATACCCACCATTACTTGGAATGAGTTCATCTGAATGGCTATATCACTACAGAAACAGTCAGAACTTCGAGCGAGTCAGCAATCCAGTATGGCCTGTTCACTCTAATGCACCAGCAAACTATGGAAACCTGAACGCGACCAATCTTACCAGGTTTGATGTTTTAGATCAGTGGGGAAATCACTTGGCTTCTAGTCCAATGGTGTACTTGGAGAGCCCACAGTTGCATCCAAGTCCTCCCCTCGCCTATGGCGCAGAAGAACAAAGAACGGATAAACATTTTCTTGGTTACCAAAGAGCATCCCCGTATGTATGTGGCACTGGAATGGACTTGAGATCGGAGCAGCCAACGCTTCTTAACTATCTCAAAGAAAGAGAACGGCAAATACCGCCAGAGTCTCAATTTAAAGGTCCTAATTTCATGGGAAACTAAGATCTATCATCAATACTCATAATTCAGGCATTTTTCAACCTGCATTGCCTTACTATATATATAAATGAATTGCGGCAACATGAACTTTGTAAGTGTGAAATCTGTAAAATGTATGTTTTTGATAGGTTGTGAGCTGAGAAAGTGCTTTCAAGAATGTTGTAACCTGTAGAATTGTTCAAGATGAATGCTCATTTCTCATTTTGTAAAGTTATCTTGTGGACCGGACCTTCCTCGAACCTCGTGCTTAGCGGGAGCTTAGTGCACATGACTGCCTTTTTAAAATTATCTTGTTTTCTGGAAGTCATTTCCAATGAATGGTTATGGGACGACTTGAAGAGCATGAACATATTTCTGTTAAGTCGTATTTTGGCAGGGGTGTGCATTCGGTTTTCGGTTCAATTTTGCGTTATTTGGTTTTGGTTTAAAAAAGTGAAATCCACTCCGAACCAAAATAAGTTTGGTTTGGTTCGATATTTCTCTTTCCGGTTCAGTTTTTTCAGTTTGGTTATTTCGTTATGTCATATAAGATAATTAACATAATCAAATATTTGTATTTTATGGTGAGAAAATAAATTTTATAGAGAATGAGAAGTAATAATATTAAATTTCTTAAATATAGTTTTTAATATTAGTAATGGATAAAACTTTAAAACATAATATTTAAAAATAGCATGTCCAAACATAAAAATTCAAAATCTAAATCGTAATTCCAATTCAAAGGAGAATAATCCGTGCTTGAAAATATTAAAACCTGAACAAACATGGCAAAATGGTCTCCTGATCACTTAAACTTGTACCTAATTGTTAATCCGGTAAACAAGCTTACAATTTTTTTATTTAAACACCTCAACTTGATGGAACAATTTTGACCGTTGATTATGCTTATGTGACAGTGACATAGGTAATATGGACAAAATGCGTGCCAATCACACAATCTTTTGATTTTAAAAAAATACTAAAATCAAAAGGAAAAATTAAAAAATGAAAAAGAAAAGGGAAAAAGCACCCCGTCCCATCACTACTCGCCTCTCCCCTCTTTCTTCTTTTCACCAGTAACCTCTCCCCGATTATCTGCCGTCAATCCATATAAAGAACTAAAAAATTATATGTGACCATTGAATTTTTCTCTCGTCATCTTTCTCTGAAATTAAGTAATTACAACAAAGGTAGCAGCAATTTTTATTTGTTAGAGAGAGCTAAAATTAAAGTAAATGCATGAAATAGAATTAGTCGCATATTTTTAAATATTAAAAGAAATAAAAGGCATGAAATATAATTAGTAGCATATTCAAAATAAATTAAAGAAGGTATTTTTACTTTATTAATCATACTTGATTGATAGGGTAGGTAAAAAATTGGTATTCAACAATCAAGATGCTACCCTTACATTGTTCCCTTCTTAAATACTTTCACCATATAGATTACTGGAAAAATTGACATTTGATTTGTAAATTGATCTTGGTTGCCAACTGTCTGGAATGACACTCGGCGCGATGACACTTTACTTTGTTTCTGAAGTAAGTCTCAGGAAAAAAAGGAGGTTTCTGTGTGTCTGGTTGTATGTCAACACTCCAAGTTGCCCCAATCATTCGCTGCATAGGTGCCCAAGTCGAATTGCTTGTTTGGATTTCAACTAAAAAAAGGTCACCATCTCCATCTACTGCTTCAGATGTAACTGCGAAGAAATTAGGATTGGATCCTTTGTCCACCTTAAAAAAGATATTTGTATTGTAATTACATGTTACCCTGTAAGGTTTAATAAAAATAAAAGAAATTAATGCATTAGCGGGTGTTCCACCCCCCCCCCCCAAAAAAAC